GCTCTTCCGTCTATTTTGTCTTTCCATAAAAATGGGAATTCTAATCTCAGTAGCGGCATGCAAATTTTCGGTGGATTTGGTAGCATGTAATTAGAGAGAAGCCAAACTTTCATGTACCCTATACTGTGACCTTCAAGGGGAAGTTTCAGGAATAAAATTGCAGACATTCAAAAAAAGATTTAATTACGAAAAGTTGAGGATATAATCAAATCTTTAGAAAATTCCAAAACCTGTTACAAGAAATTGATTTTCAGGATCGGTAGCTAAGGACGTGGTACAGTCACCGACAGTGTGTATGACCGAGAAGGCTCCTAAAAATCCCGCCGCAGGATGATGCGTCCATACTTGTATCAAGCCAGAATCGAGGGCGACCAACAGTGTGCCGACATCGGGTTTTATTTCTCGCGCGGTTAGAAAGATTATTGCGCGTACCGCAGTTACGCGAACAATGTTCAATGCTGACTCTTGATGGACACATAGAGTCAATTTTCTATTTCACGAGAAATCAGTTTAAAACATTTCGACAAAAGAAATTTTCTTTTGTAGCCATAAGCGCATTATTATTTACTTAATTTGTTGATTGACAGATCCGCTGATCTCATTCAATTTTCCAAACTCTTTCTGTGCGTTCGTCATTCTTGTGTACCTATTAAATCAATTGGCCTTCGATTGCAAGTTGCTGACGTTTACTGTGTCAATTATTGTTCATGAAAATATCAAATTGACATCACCTTCTATTTACATCAGTCACTTTATACTTTCTAAAAGGCTGGCCCGTTTCAAGATTCCAGAGAATTATTTCTTCGTTGTACGATCCAGTAGCTAACAGCTGCGGAAATCTTGCAGCCGAGCATAGAATGTCGTCGGTGTGACTGGTCGTCCAATTCTTTTTGCATATATCAGATTCGAAAACCGACAATTCTGTCACGTGTTTATTCCAGCCGCAACACAGAATTCGATTTTCGTACCATGCGATGTTCGTTATTTCGCTGCAGAAAAAAAATAACAATATGAAATGAAAATTATATCACTCACGATATCGACGAAAAGTATCGTAATTGCATTGAATATTTTCAGTTAGAATTATTTTGATGCTGTTTTGTCAGCAACATTAGAAAATATTCTCTTAAAGCGAATTCGATCACTTCAGATTTATTCACGTCGCATGCTTCAACATGCTTGTTGTGATGCGAATAAACCTTTATATTATATTGGATTAGTGTATAATCCAATTAGTGTATAATCCTATACTAAAAGATGCTATGTTTGAAATTAGCAAAGTTAAGTGTAAAAGCTGATAAATATTTTAAATGATTATAAATGATAATATTATTACTATGTTAATAGAATATAATGTATTATTTTATTGTCGAAGTTGATTATACGAGGAAAAATAAAAAAATAAGGTCAATCATAGTCCGTTCTTATTTTAAGATCGTTTTAAGTAATGTCTTAAGATGTTAATGCAGCTCTCTGATTGATTCATAAGATCTTAAATACTGTATTTAAAACAATCTTAAATATAAGAATCGACTATGAATACTGTTCGAAGACGGAGACATTTCGATAATCAAGCGGTTAGCAGCCATGTTTGGCTGCGTTCGGAAATATCATCTGGGTACTCCTGTGTATCATCTTTGTTTAACATTACTGAACATTAAAGTGCGTTCAGACTATCGAGCCGCGAGCCGAGCCTACTCGTTGATCCATATTATCAAAATGAAAATAGGTTCACGTCAAAGCTTTGAATGTGGACGTAGGCTCGGCTCGCGGCTCGATAGTCTGAACGCACTTTAATGTTCAGTAATGTTAAACAAAGATGATACACAGGAGTACCCAGATGATATTTCCGAACGCAGCCTTTATGTGTTTAAAAGTGCTACGTAACTAACTTCAGAAGATTCTCGATTATATGAATCACTTATCAAAAGATCATATGCTCCCCCAAATCTCACTTATGAATCTGCCGCAGCTCTGCTTGCATACATTATGAGAACATGATCTTACTTTTTTATTCACCCTCACATTATGCACTTAACATTATGCATCTAGATACTTTATGTAAAGCTTTTAAAAAATATGCAGATTCATTATGCGAGTGATCGAATTTACCACTGACAAGATAGCAGACAAATTGAATATTTCTGATTTATGTCTATATAATTTAGGAATCGTTTGGGAAAATTTGGGAAAAGCATTTAAACATTTGGGAAATAGTATTTTTCTTGTAATTAACAAATTTTATCATGCGTCAAGTTAGCAGACAGCGATTTTATTTAACGTGTTTTATGAATGGAATCGATTAGAAATTATTTGGGGAAGACGTCTTCATTATTATTTTCATTTGGGAAAAGTCACTATTTGGTAATTCAATAGATTTATACATTACGAAAACGAACAAAGCCCGGGTGTGGTATGGGTGTAGTAGGTGTAGTACAATGAATATAGTAAACCTAAAATCGTCAAAAATTAATCAATTAAGCCCGGATTCAAATTAATTTTGTTGAAATTTGTTGAAATTTCTTTTAAATTTTTGCTGAAATTTTTCTAAAATTTTGCTGAAATTTTGCTAAAAATTAATTTTTCAGCTTAAAATCGCTGAAATTAAATTGAAATTTTTCTAAAATACTGAAATTTTGCCAAAAAGTGTTCCAAAATGTAGAATAATTTCAGCGAAATTTTTCCAGCGGGGAAAGAGCAATTATTTAATATCCACTGTACCATTGGTGATCAACCATCATATCGCGTATACAGATTCCGGTATTGTAATTCCACATCTTCACTGAACCATTTCTTGCGCCAGTCACTAAAAATTGCTCCGTATCATCGAAGCAAGCCGCCGTGATCTCGATGTCGGCGTACTGCCCATATCGTATAACACTGTGAGCGTGTGATATCAAACGTAAGCGGCGTCCGTACCATGGATCCCATATGATGATGCATGAAT